TGCATCAGAGCATTTAGGGGCACGGCTCTCGGAGACTCAGGCCTGGGCTTCATCAGTGCTCAGGACAACCTTGCAGGTGCAGATACCCAGGGTTTAGTTTCACATGGGGGTGGTGAGGACATGCTTAGGGCACCTAACATTACAGGCATCAAAGAAACACAGCTCTGCTGTGCCCACTGAAGGAGACTCCCTGAGCTCTTATCCCAGAACCAGTGCCAAAGAAGCGGATTTCTAGGGTGTTTTTTTTGGGGGGGGGGGGTGATGGTAGTGGATGGGGGCTCAAACCCTGAGACAGTGAAAGGGTCACAAGAAGAGAGGATGTCTTAGCTAGGAACATGATATGATCCCTGGGCTCCGGTCACAGCTCTACAGTCTAGCTTTCCAGTGTGCCAGACGTGACCTCGGAGTCAAGAACCAGAAGGTGTGAGGAGCGTGGGAAGGTCCCAGAACCCAGGCGCCTTTCTCTTTCCTCTTCAGCAGCTTAACTGACAGAAGGGGGGAGCTGTGTGGATCAACAAGCACCATGCTGCTCTCTGGATTTCCAGCGTCCTGATGCCCCCTCTTAGGAGAGGACTTCTACAGTGGGTGTGTCCTGCCTTGGCTGCGGGAGAAGTGGTCTAAGAGGTGGCGCTGAGGACCACACTGCTGGGAGGAGCTGTCACCGGGCCAACATCTACTGCCTGTCTCTCCTGTCATCCTGCCTCTGCAGACAGCTTCTGTCCTCCCATCATGCCCGAAGGGAGGACAGAAGCTGTCTGCAGCTTGAGCTGAGTCCTAGGTTTCCTTCCTGCAGAAAGTTCAAGTTCAAATATTCCTTGAAATGGCCCCAGTAGAGTCTAAATTTGGTGGGGGGGGGGAGGGGGGCTGAAACAACTCAGTGGTGAAATGCTCGCCTAGAATGTTCTATTCCCTGTCCTATCTCCGCAAAAAAAAAAAAAAAGGCTGAAGAAAAACTAAAAAGCAACACACACACACACAAAATCCAAACAGCCAACATTTACTAAGTCACTATGATGTACTAGACATTATTAAAGCTTTATAACTAAGAATTCTTAGCCCCATGTTCCTGAAGCTCGGAGACATCGGAAATTAAGGTTGCAGGCTGATTGAGAATGAGCTCCTTCATCGGCCTCACACCTCCACGTGCGTGTGCGCCCACATATATGCACATAAAAATTGGAAGAAAAAAAAAAGCTGCGCCTCGCTGAGTAAACGCCCAGCTATACTGACAATGGACACAAACTTGCAGTGCCCACACTGCCTCTGGGGCCATCTGTCCCTTTGTGATCTCTACTGTGTTTGCCTGTGGCTCTTTTCCCATAGACAAGTTCTGAATTTTCCCAGCGTGTCACAGGGCTGGCTATCTCCTGGGGCACGCCCCAGGAAGTCTGTTCTAATTTTCAAAGTGCCTGTCCCTGTCCGCGGGTGAGGCTTCACTGCAGCGAGCGACTGGCAGCAGCAATGAGTTGGAGAGCATGGTGGCACAGGAATAAGAGTCCCCTGAAGTAGCAGCACGCGGGGCATTCTCAGCCATTTCCCTGAGAACTCTGGGGCTGCCTCTGATGGGCACAGGGTTCCACTTCTGCCCTGTGGTGGGACCAGCAGGTTTCATTTTCTGCCACAGCAATATGAAGTCAGACCCAATGGCAAGGATGTGAACAGTGGTGGCGGGAGGGTCTGTGTGCTGCCTTTGCCTTTCCAGAAAGGGAAGACGAAACACACCCCTTCTAGCCAATGATGCACAGAATGGACATTTCGAACATCAGAGACCTGCAGGGCAAACCAATGGCCATGTAAAAACACTAATGTTGGAAACTGGACACTGGCTGTGCTGTTCTGTTACTTTATCCAATTGGAGAGGGTGGGAGTGGAGAGAATATCTCACTAAAGCCCAGGCTGGCTAGGACTCTGCCTCCCAAGTGCTGGGGATTACAGGAGCTTGTGTCCACTAGCTGGACACGGCAGCCTTGTTGGTGCTGAAGCAAGAACTTCTGGTGGCCGATGACCTGTAGGCACGAGGATCTTCTGGCATGAAGCTCGGGGTGGTTTCGGAGCTCAAGAAGACAGAAGCGGCATCGGTGAAGGCCTGGCGCTGGGCGCAGTCTTCTGGGGTGCTCTTTTGGGGTCTGCTCCCACGGAACACGCAACCTAGCTTCTACGGGCCAGTTTCTCACAAACCTCAGCCAGAGGTTAACTTGGCTCCACAACCGCAGCGCCATCCATGAAAACACAAACTCTGTAATCTACTTGAGATCATATTTTTTTTTGCTCTGATTAAAATTTTTATTGAAATCTCTCAAATATCATCAAGAAATAGGTCTTTTGCAAAATAAGGGGCGGGGGGGGGGTCTGCTAACAAATTCAACATGGGAGCTCCCTCTGCTGGTCTGCAGTAGGTTGATATGTGACAAACACATTCCCAGAGACAAATCTAATTTGCTGGAGAAGTGGACAAAAGACAGGTGTGTTGGGCTTTGCCTCTGGAGAGAAACACTAGAAGAAAAAAAAAAAATCCATGTCTCAAAACAAAGCACAACATTGTAAAAAATAAAAAAAAAGCAAAATTAGAAGACGCTCCAAAGCACTCAAGTTTCCAAAACAAAACCCCAGGCACCTAGGAAGGGGCCCCTAACTCTGCTCCCCTCCAGTGAGGATTCTCAGAAGCCATCTTGGCCTCCAAAACCCTAAGCAGTCACTGGAGCGAGGCCTCACCAAAATTCCATTAAGAGGAAAAAGCCTGTGGTGAGCCAGCACCTTGCTGTCTAAGTCAGCAAGGGAAGCAGGTGACAAACCTGCTCTAGAACCAGGGAGCCACTGTGACTTGGGCAACTCCCCGTTTCCTCAGCTGTGCAACGGGCTGGACCAGTTGTCTGCAAAGTTTCTACCAGTTCACTCCAACATGGACGAGTCTGTTCATTTAAATGAGTCCAAAGAAGTGAGACTCAAGACACAGATTTCACCACCAGCAGATCGGAGTTCCGCCAGGTCTAGGGCTGAGGGCTGAGCTAAGAGGAGCGATGTGGGTGAGGCATGCGGCCACGATCCATCTAATCTCTCCATCCTTTCTCACAGTGACGTAGGCTTCCTAAATCTCCTTGAGCCCCTTGTTAGAACCTTCACCCTCTGTATCCTACAGATCACTCCAGATTTCATGCCACATCACGACCAAAGCAAGCCAGTCTTCCCAGGTCTTTCTGGACATTGTCAAGTCTTGACTCTCCAGGCGGCAGTGAATGGCTTTCTACCCGAAGCCGCACATGCTCAAAAGACTCTGTGCAACCTTGCATGGTTTCATGGCACAAACCACTAACGCCCCCGACTGTCTGTTGCTCTGCTCCTGCGCCATATGAGAGGGGCCATGCCTGCACATGAGGTGTGGGGTGCACAAGAGGGGTTTGCAGTTGGTCTTTGTTGTCAATAAAGTTATCCACAGCACAAAAACATTAATGACTCCGCTAAAGACAGCCACAACCTAGCTGCTCCTGCCTGTACCTAGGCATGAGAGTTAACAAACACTGATGCAGAAACGCCAGGCAGAGGGTGGAAAGGCAGAAGGCATGTCTAGTTCTTGACTTGGATTTGTTTCCTGTACCAAGGCGACCATCACGGTCTCTGCACTTCTCACTTTCCAAGCTGCTTTCTCCCCGCAGAGGGCAGTTTCTGTTCCCAGGGCACAGGACACCACACGAGGGCTTCCCTTGGAGCTCTGCCTGCCTGGAGTCGGGATGCCCGGGAGAGCAGCGCAGGCAAAAAGCACAGGTGCCTACAGGAGTCCTGACCCGGTGGCTTGGGTACATTCGCTGTACCTACAGGTACATCCAGTCTTGGAAACAAATACCAGGCAAAATGAACACACACTCCACCTGATGAGCCTGATAATCTAAGAAGATTTATTGAATTTATTTAGTGTGCATGCCGCCTGCACACGTGTGTGGAGGGCAGAGGACATCTAACTAGCAGAAGTCAGTTCTCTTTTCCACCACGTGGGTCCTGGGGTTTGAACTCAAGCTGTTGGGCCTTTGCCCAATGAGTCATCTTGCCAGCTGATTGCCTGGTTTTTTTTTTTTTTTTTTTTTTTTTTTGGTTTTTTGAGACAGGGTTTCTCTGTGGTTTTGGAGCCTGTCCTGGAATTAGCTCTTGTAGACCAGGCCGGTCTCAAACTCACAGAGATCCGCCTGCCTCTGCTTCCCGAGTGCTGGGATTAAAGGCGCCACCACCGCCCAGCTGCCTGGTAATTTTTAAGAGGCCAGGTTGAATGGCATATGTAGCAAGACAACAGAATCTGTATTTTACTTTCCGAGGGTGAAGCTCAGCTCTCACTGTTACCCTCACACGAGGCAGACTGCAGGGACCCGTGGCCTCCAGGGGAGAGAACGCACTTGGGATGCCTCTCTCTGTATTTGGGGAGAAGCAGGCGCTTGTTTATAAAGCTCAAGCTTTTTCTTTTTTTTAACTGAGCAAGCAAACTACAGAGACATGCCCCTGACAAGTACCTTTCCTCACATGGCAGTCTTCCCTGCACCGTGTGGAGGACCAGGCTTCCTCTTGGAAGCCTCCCTCCAGTCCCTCACCTCCCTGCGGACAAGAGAGCAGGAGTCTTTTTCTGCACGCATACCAAACACACATTAAAACTCGTGCCTCGAGTACATGCTTCCCTTTCACAACACACACAGGCTCACACGCACACACACACCCTTATGCTCCTGTGATGCCCTTTTTGCTGTCTGGGAGCCAAGGGGGGAAGCCTGCCCCGGTCTTTGCGTGTGAGATGAGGGTGAGATCATTAAGAAGAGAGAGGTGTCCTTTGGGGGAGACATCAGGCAGTGGGGTGGGATCATGGCTGACAGACGGTCCTCGTAAGTTCCGGAGGGGATCATTCACTTACTGAAGGTGGACCTGTTAGCTGGATAGGTGTTAGTCACGTGGTGTGCTCTGGGGGACCAGGTCGGAGAGGACTGGTGGTGGAGTGAGTGACGTGGTGGCCGATGGGTATAAATTACCTGGGCATGCAGTGAGGCGGGATAGGTGAAAGCAGCAGGAGGAGGCAGAGCAGGCGCTAACTCCGCTGGGTACAGAGGGTACGGGGCCCACACTTCAGGGCTACTGGGGTAAAGTGCAGGCACTGTGAGCTCATCTGCAAGAAAAGAATAGGGAAGAGTTAGTGCGTCCCAAACCGTGGCTCCCACCTCAGAAAACACAACCACCAGCAACCCCGAGCCCAGATCGACGGCAGGGGTCCAGTTACTCTCATTCTGGTAAAGACCCCTTGGCTTTGGTTCCCCAAACTCTAAGCAAAGGGACCGGAAGTTTGGAACAAATAAGGCTCGTATGTACTCCCTGCCCAGTGAGGTTGTTTCTCCAACTGTAGCCGGGGCCCAACAACAGTGGGAATTTCCTGCTGAAAGAGTGTGTGGTCCCCTGAGGGATGGAAGGAAGAGAGAGCGAGCAGGAGACATCCCATGAGAACCTCTGGGTGCCTTTCAGAGAACAAGGGTTACTGGTAGGACCCCAACAGGCCGTCAGTATTGCTACGGGCAAACAGGCCATGATAAAGCACCTTCCATACTGTGTCAGAAGTGCAGGGCCAAATACTAGGACCACAGGACACCTAGGGCATTACAAACTCAGACAAGTGAAGAATCTCAAACGTCTCAGTTAAAGTTAGGCTCCCGAGAGATGTAAGAGGAAGGTCTACAGCAGCTGTTTGCTCTGACTGCTTGGTCTAACAGCTCACTGTATAGCTCAGAATCTATTTGGGTCAAGCCGCAGTTGCCAGACGGAAGGTCACTTGCCTGACTGCCCAGTGCACCGGGAAGCAATCTGTTAAAAAAAGTAGAGGCAGGCGCACCAGCAAGCTCGGTGCAGGCAGCACTGCAGCTCGATGGGCTCTGGAAAGCAGCAATCTCAATATTTGCTTTTCTCACCTGTCAACATCTGAAACCAAGTATACGGAGGACGCTTCCCCAGACAGCTGAGGGAGGCAGGATGGGGTGACTGTAAAAAGCCATTAGTAACTGCCTCGCCGGATGACCCAGAAATCTAGGGGGTGTGTGACCTGAGGTCAAGAGTCACCTCCCAGGAGCCTGTCACCCTCTGTCCTCCCCAGCCCTAGAAGCACTGGATCTAGCCAGGACCACCAATAAGGGAAGAGCACTGAGGAGAGCAAACCACAGTGCTGGGTGTCGTGGGTACGGCTCTGCTCCGCAGAGCAACCATTAAGTGCGCATGAGACAGGCACGGGGAGGAGGCAGGTTCTGCATGGGCAGAGCTTCCCCTACATGGCAGGGTGGTTGGCTAACACACAGAGGTAGTTCCTGCTGTTCCCAACACCAGCTAAATGCACCACGGCTGACCTCCCCCCTTCTCCCCACACCATCTCACAGAAAAAGGACAGTTAAAACCCAGGTGAGAGACAGACTGAGCATCAAGGTGGCTGAGACCAGCACTAACCGCTGAGTGTACAACTGATTAGTGCTATCGGCCAGGGAAACAATAAACAAAAATTGCCAAGTCCATGCATCTACTTCAAGGCCTGGGTTGTGGCCCAAGGCTCGGGGAATCCCTCAGAGGGCTGAAAGTCCTGCAGATCCTGCATTTCCGGTCATGAAGGGACCTCCTGCTTTCCATTAGAATCGTTCTTGTGGGAGCCTGGCTAGTGGAAACTCGCTGCTGCCAAAAAACGGGGACCTTAAATTTTAAAAAACTGCTCTCAGAAATGGCAAGCTATTATTGTTGTTGTTGTTATTTTAGCTACCAGGCTATTTTAAGACACCATGTCTTTTATAAAAGTCAAGAGAGTCTCACGCCCTAGCCCTAGTGCACTCACACCTAGCTCATGCTTATCCGGCCTGCTGTGCCGACCGGTACCAACTGGTAGAAGCCAGGAGAGAGCCACGCTTGGCTGCAGCTAGTCTGTGGTCCCCAGTCACACTGTAACAGGATGACTGGGGGGAAAGCTGCCCCATCCACCTCCAGGGAAGCTGGAAGCCTCAGGAGGCAGAAAGAACGCAGGCCACACCCACCAGGGCCCAGGCTCCCTTCTTAGACAAAGGTGAGGTTTTCAGTGGCTCTGCAAACACTTTAAAGAGGGAGAAATCCCACCTAACCCCATTCTTTAAGTGTAAATGATGATGTTAAATAATTCATTTAAATTTATTTTATGTGCACTGGTGTGAAGGTATCAGATGCCCTGGGACTGGAGTTACAGACAGATGTGAGCTGCCATGTGGGTGCTGGGAATTGAACCCAGGTCCCCCAGAATAGCAGCCTAGCCATCTCTCTAACTGCTGAGCCATCTAACCCCTAAGTATAAATGACTTTTAAGAGGTGAAATGATTCTCTGGTCGTTTATTTTTCGGTGCAGTCATAAAGCACTGGGATGCTGGACTGGGGAACTGTCTTGACGGGGTAGACTTCTCAAGTCAGCTGGTTTATTATGCCTACGAGACAGAGCATTAAACGGGGGAAGAGGGAACAATGAAGATGAACTCAGGTTTCGATCTCCATCTGCCTGATGAAGTTGAGATTTCCAAGTCTGCCTACACTTTCATCCTGGCATGTGACCTCTCCCACATCCACAATTCCTGCAGGCATCTGCACAAGCGCAGCCCGCCCAGCAGAGCGGGACGTTAGACTAGGCGGTGCTGGGCTGAGCACATGCAGTCCCTCTACCCACTTCCAAGAAGGGATTTATGGTTCCCTGAACGACCGGAGACAGCTGGTGCCGGGGACACAACCTCCACCTAGAAGCCATCTTTCCAGGCCAAAAGTCTCTTAAAACATCCCGGGATGATGTCTTTCTGCTGGCTAATATGACAGGACTACAGAGCAAAGCCTGTTGAAGGGGCAGGGAGAGTCCGGAGAGCAGTGACCCATTCCCTAACCATCACTTCTCCATTCAAGCTAACAAGATGGAGAAAAGAAAGAGAAGACCAAGCTTCAGGTCCCCGGAGAACCTTTAAAGGAACCTTTGATTGGTATTAATTTTGTCGCCTGGAAGGTTCTATTTGGAAATGCTGCACAATACAATGCTCAACTGATTGCTTGCCTGAGATTGTCGCCTTGCTTTCTCTCTGGGCCTGGATTCAACGTTACCCTGCACTCCGACTTCAGCCACCCACCCTGCATTAGAGTTGGTCTCTTGAGACTGTCTAGCTTGCTACTTCAGAAGCCAGTGTAACTGAAGTACACAACTTGGCCTCATGACACCCCCCTTTTAAAGCCCCCGTGAAGCCGCCTTGACTCCCAGGATGGTCTAACAAGCCCTGGATTTCCTGTTTTCCCGGTGGTCTAAGCTCTGCCTACCTGCCTGCCAGCCTCCCTCCCTCCCAGGCCTGCAGGACTGCTCTCTCAGGTCAGCTGGCTTATTGTTAGCTCTACAGTGGATGCTTCTTCTCCCAGGCTGGGACCCGTAGACTCCCTTGCTTTCCACTGCACTCCTACCCTCCCAAGCCAATCAGACGGCCTCCTGGGAGGTGAGTTCTTACTCCAGGTGCCCAAGCCCAGCCCAGGACTAGCAGACAGCCACGCACTTGCAGTTAGTAAATGAAGCATCCTGCCTCCCGAGTGGAAATAAACCACAGGAAAGAAACATACAAAACAACACCAAGCCCTAAGAATCCCCACCCCTTGTCACACAGAGTTCCATCCAAACACTGCCTACCCCTATCCCAGCTCCTGCAAAGGCAGAGACCCTAAGTGCGGCGCGTGGGGGAGGGGCCTTCAGTTCCAGCTTTTAGAGCGCTCAATTATTTACCGCAATAAACTAAAGGACAGAGAATTAGAAACCAGAGAGCTGTTTTTTAGATGAAATTTTACTCAGGAAAATCATGCCATGGAAGACCCAAGCCCTGAGAAACTTTCTCTTGTTTGCTGGAGACAGGGTTTCTCTCTTTAGCCTTAGCTGCCCTGCAACTCACTCTGTAGACCAGAATGATCTCGAACTCACAGATACCCACCTGTCTCTGCCTCCTAAGTGTGTGCCACCACAGCCCAGCTGAGAGAAACAGGGGATGGGGGCAGTGTGTAACAAAGACACAAGAAAAACCAACGCTTCTATTAGCAATCACCCTTCACCATACCTCACACACACCTTGGCAAGTAGCTTAGGTGCTTCCAAAGTCCTGCTGACGACCCCTCTTTTCAAGGTCTGGTCTGCCGCATTCTCTCCCTACTAGTGAGGCAAAGCAGGTATTGGGAAGGGAAGCTCTACTCTGGGAATCAGGAATTCCAGCACAACTAGTAACGTATGCACAAAGGCTGATATTTCTTTTTCCCCCTTGGTTGTTGTTTTGTTTTTTCAATACAGGGTCTCTCTGTGTAACCCTGCCTGCCTCTGCCTTCTGAGTGCTGGGATTAGAGGTATGTATCACCACCGCCCGGTTTACAGAGATATTTTCAAGTAAGACTGTAAAACAGCAAAGAGCCATGCTTGAAGCCTGGGGACATATGATCTCAATATGGCCTTATTTCTTCTGCAGGTATTTTCTGGAAATCTTACAAACAAAAGCATTAACTTTTTTTTTTTTTTTTTTTTTTTTTGGTTTTTCGAGACAGGGTTTCTCTGTGGTTTTGGAGCCTGTCCTGGAATTAGCTCTTGTAGACCAGGCTGGCCTCGAACTCACAGAGATCCGCCTGCCTCTGCCTCCCGAGTGCTGGAATTAAAGGCGTGCGCCACCATCGCCCGGCAATCATTAACTTTTTAATTGTAAAAATCACCTCAATTTCTTATGCGATCCTTCTGAGTTATTGGTTGTAACTCTATCCAGTGCACACCAGAAACTGACCTATAATCTCCCTGAAAGCACGAGGGGCTCGCGTGCCCATCTGTCTCTCCGGCTGAGAATCTACCTTGGTGGTGGAGACACAAATCACCAGTTCAGCAAAGAGAGCCAACAGTACTAAGTATTGGGAATGCAAGGAGAAACCAGGGCTGCGCCCAGTTCTGGCTTTTGTAGACCATGGCCATTTCCTCCACATCAGTTACTTGGTACAACTCACAAAACCATTTTGCTTTCTATCCCAATGTAAATACACTAAACTCACCAACCAAACCCTTTTCCTACCTCATACATATATATATATATATATATATATATATATATATATATATGCTCGTGCATGAGAGAGACAGAG